AATGTGTCACTCTGGGTAGAGAAATTGATCTTTTTTGCCCCCTTTGTGTTATATTTGCTGATGATTGTTGCTTTTACTTCTCATTTTAAATCCTCGAATCCATTTAGAAGTTAGGTCCTAATCATATTAAACTGTGTTTTTAAATGAGTAAGAACAGCTCTGGTATGAAACATCATGTGATGGTAGATGATGTATAAGATAGTTAGGTGGCTACATACCTTCCTTAGAGTTTTCAAATGGGAGGGTTGAGCCAAAACCACCACTGGGTTGAGAAAGACTTTTGTAAGAGACTTAAAAATAGCATCATTACCCCAACTAAACACTGAGCCCCCTGTGGCTTCTCCTAAATGGATAGAGCTCTAAAAGTAACGTTTCTGCCTTTTAATCTACTCACCCACAACTATGTTTGCGGGTTTTTTGTGTGAAGGTGGGAAAGCAGATTTAAGGTTCAAGGCAAAAAATAAAATAAAATACCAACTGCCAAGTAGATATGGCCCAGAGTAATTCTCAGGAAAATCACAGTCTTGCTGTTTTTTTGTTATTGACACCAGGATTGCAGTGAATGAGGCCTGAGCCCTCTACGTTGAATGTTAAAGTTGAGGAGCATAAGCTGTAGTTCCACATCGACGTTGCCTTCGAGCTCGAGGAGGAACACTGTCATACTTTTGGTCACACACCGGCCGACCTCGGAGATTGTCTCTTAAAATCCTGCTAGTCGCTCTCGGCCGGTGAGCTGACCCTGGGAACAGAACGGGATAGTTGAGATTAAAGTTCACAGGATTACGTATTCATGAGTAGATCAAAGTCGGCAAGTTTAAGCTTATTTAACGCTGAAACCTGCAGCCCCTAACCTCTGAGAGATGCTCACGCTGCTCGACCTGGAAAAGTATCACAGCTGCTGCTTCTGCAGTCTCCCCGTCTCTCCAGCATTAGCCGTTTTTCTTGTACACCAGTAACTATAGCAAATAAGGATGAGGATGTTTTTTTTCTGTGAATAATTTATGAGCATGTATATTTCATAGAGTGAGGCCAGCATTTGAAAACTCTAATGATGCTGATGGGGTGTTCGGGTTAGATTTGGCCATGTTACTCATGAACACAGACGTTCCAACTTGCTGCAAACACTGAGTCCATCAGATGGAAGGTGCTGCCTCGCTAATCTTGAATACAGATAAGGATGAAAGAAATAACAACCTGTGGTTTAGAGGATGTGAATACGCATTATCTGCTCTCTCTCTCTGATGTTTCTGAGCTTTGTTATCACTTCAGATGTGTACAAACTGCCTCAGAGGCGCGCCATGTTCCCCAATATCAGAACTGATGGAGTGATTACATCAGTGAAACTAAATCACAGCAGCTCTTTTTAATAATTACAGTGCAGCAGCTTATTTAGTTTGACTGACCGTCTCCTTTGGCTGTCCTCAAAGTAGTCCAGTTCCACAGTGACGTGTGCTTCGGCAACATGGCAGGGAGTTCAGAGCTCAAAGGATTATGCCCACTTGCTACCCTCAGGGGTCACAGCAATTCCTGTTCTCTTCTGGGTCAGGCTTTAGACTTACATGAGGCTGGGTGGGCGGTGTGGAGGTTCAGCGGTTAGCGCTGCACAGCGGGAGGATGCCGCCCTGGTTCTTGATGTGAAAAGCTTCCTCCCATGGTCAAAGACCATGAGTACACCAAAGTAGAAACATTTCAAAAACACATCTTTTTCTCTCCATTTTAGCCTCCCACCCACAGTAAGCCCACATTTAGCACCCAGCTGAGCTTTATAAAGCTGCCGCTGCTTACCGAGCGCATGAATCTAAAAAAGACTTCTTTTGTCACACAGATGGTGAAAACAGCTTCCGCATGATTGCCAGGTCAGAATTACTGATGATGTTAAGCCAACTAATTTACCTGAAACTTTGCCTGTGATTGCTTCTTTGTGATTATTATCCTTTGTCAGTTTTCCACTGGGAAAAACAAGCTTTCTTTTAGAGGAAGCAATGGATTCTGTCTTAAATGCTGTTCTGTTCACATAAAAATAGTTGTAAAACAGTCGTGTTAATTTCATTTCAACAGTAAACCAAGTACACTTGTCCAGAAATACTGTAAAATCAATTAATTTGTTCAGCTTTCTTTGATCATGAATGGATTTTTAGCCACATAGACAGCAGTGTCATTGGCTGTTTTGCACGAGCATTCACGGTCTTCAGAGGATGAACCCTAGTAGCAGAAGACGTTTCTGTGCACAACAATGAGGCTGACATTTGTGATCTTGAGTGAAATGTCACCAAAACTATTACATCGACTGTGATGGAATTTTATTTAGGATGAATTGTGATGACTAATTGTGATGGTAATTTCATGATATTAAATATTGCACCGTCACTAACTCAGAAATCAAAGTTGTCCAAGTATTTGGGATATGACTAGTGATGCACGATATTAAAATGTATTATTATTTATTATCGGTATTCGATACCGATATCTGATATCTGATATTAAAATTACCAATGTCGATATTAAATTTTTGTTCACACCGAAAAATGAGTATAAGTAAGCACTGTGAGAACGTGAAAACTATTCAAAAGCAGCCCATACCAAATTAGACCACATAGTCTTCTTTATTACGGAACAAAAGTAAAACATATTTAAACATATTTTAAGTATTTAATGTTCAAGTCCAGGACTATTTAAGTAAAAACATCTGTGAAATAGCAGCAGTCAAATATCAAACATAGAGACAAAGACACTAATGTTAGACAATCATCGGTTTTTCACATCGAATAAATGTGTTCATCGGACCGATAACGATATATCGAAAAAAACACTAATATCGGCCGATGTGGTCACCGATATATGGTGCATCTCTAGGTATGACCAAATTTTTTGCAAAGCTAACGATGTTCCCATCAGCCTCAGCTGTATTTGGTAGCGTGCTGACACACCAAAATAAGATGGTGATCATAGTTAACATTATACCCACGAGATATAAACATGTTACCATTGACCTTTTCAGCATGTTGGCATGGTGACATTAGCATTGAGCTCAAAGCGCTGTAGGGCATAAATACAACCTAACAAAGCTGCTGTTTTGATTGAGTTGGTCTGATTTTCACCTGTTTCATTCAAATCCCTTGAGTTAGTTTTTATAAAAGCTTGCAATTATGGGCCCTGCTTATTTAGTCTGTTGTTTTGTTGTCGACTGTCCCGCTGTACGCTGGACACTCGTACAAACTACAGATTAGAGCAGCAAGCAGTCAGATTACTACAAACTCATGCAACCACAAGCCAGAGACACATGTCCGTGTTTATTCAGCTAGATTAGAACTCAAATTTTTAATCAGTGTGAGACAACAGAATGGCATCTTGAGTTTACTTTTAATTATATGAACTCTGTGATAGAACAGTTTGTTGATCAGTAGTGTCGCACAGGCAGACCGTTCTCTATATAGAATGGTCTGACTGCACCTCAGTATTGTTCTGCTATTGGAGAAGAAAATGCTCATTTCTGTTTCTTTAAAATTATCACAACTGTCTACAGCAGTGCAATGCATTGGTGTCTCCTCAAAATAGTGAAGGAGGAATTTTTTGGTGGGACATTTGCATGCAGGAAAGCGAGCACCGTCTTTAAAATGGATGATTCACCCCAAAAAACAGCAGATCAGCCTTACTGCATGACCTTAATCAGAACTTCAGATTTTCAGTGTGGTAGGCTGCGAGCCTGGAGGTCGTTGTCAGCTGATTGGGGCTCAGTAATGTGCACGAAAGATCATATTGTTTTTTTGACAGATATTGCAATTGCATTAAGAGTCACCTTTTCAGTGGGAATATCTTTATTTTTAATTTCTTCTTTGTCAAAACATATAAAAATGATGATAGGATTTTGCTTTTCCTCGTCATTACCAAACAAACGTGTTCCCTTAATGGTGGAGAATATAACTTGTGGGTCAGGGTGTCTCTGTAGCAGCACAATGTGCACCTGTGATTTGAATATTGCACTTCACCATATTGCGATTTGATCATTTTTCAGTTCATTGTTAAGCATTAGTGTTGATTCAGTCAGGCTCTTTTCTCTTTGAGTTTGTACCGTTGCCCCATTTTTATGGTTTCCAAACGCCATCAAACTAAATGGAAAATTAAGAAAATATCATTTATTCATTTCAGCTTTTCAGCATGGATTTTAAACCCAAACAACACTTTTCAATGCCATTTTCTTCTGTTCTACTCTCATTTATCAATCATGTATGTAGAAATATCAAAACATGTAACATCCTAACATCTGGAATATGAAAAGAATATATTTTCAAATTGTAGAAATCTGGTCTCAAAAAGCTAACAACAACTATTCATTTAATTAGACAGCAGTTTAAATAATTGGATCTTTAACACTACACTAGGTTTGCATACATTGAGTGTCAAAAAGTGCCAGTTTGTATTCATATGTCTATTTGTGCTTCTACAAACATGCTCACCTGTATCTCTGGTGTCTGTATTATAACAAGTGCAGAGAACTGCTGGCTGATGTTACGCTCTAATTAAACCCAAATTGATGCTTTGAAAACCATCTTCGCACATTTTTTTGTATGTATCACAAATGATCAGAGTCATGGCCTGAATATAAGCCCAGCATTGTGCTGCCTGAAGTAGGAGCCAGAAGGAGACAAGACTGAGTAAATTAAGCTGGAATGTCTGCTGACTGTTATTTGACCTGATAGCCATATTTCAACAGGATGCCATGCAAATTGGAATTTATGGTCTACGGATAAGTGAATAGTCACAATATGCAGGGATGTTTTATGTGCAAAGGCTAAATGTTTGGCTCAGTAGTTCAATTAGCCCCTTTTGTTGCATTAAGCACAAGTTGAGTCCAAGTTTTCAAAGGGTAATTGTCTGTCTTTTTAAACTGCGACTTCAATGAAAAATACAACAAACCCAAAACTCACTGACTGCTTTCATGCACCTCCACAGCATCGGTTGTTCTCAGATGGTCTGATGTGGGTCTGTGTGTGTGTCCTCAGGTACGAGAAGGTTCCTGTGATCCTGGTGGGGAACAAGGTGGACTTGGAAAGCGAGCGGGAGGTATCGTCCAGCGAAGGTCAGGCCCTGGCCGAGGAGTGGGGCTGCCCGTTCATGGAGACCTCGGCCAAGAGCAAAACCATGGTAGACGAACTGTTCGCTGAGATCGTTCGGCAGATGGACTACGCCGCCCAGCCAGACAAGGACGACCCCTGCTGCTCCTCTTGCAATATACAATAGCCCCCTGGGGGCCTCCGAGAACAGGCCGGGCAAAAAAAAAAAAAAAAGTCCACTTAGAGGAAACTCCTTCGACTCGCAGCAGACAGAAACACACTTAGACACACACATGCACATGCCAATTAAACAGAAGACAAATTCATGGTTGAACGCAACGGATTTTAACTCAATGGAGCATAAAATTTGCAGTGACATGATTATTAATAACGACATGTGAGTAATGCATACGTTTTGAATGAGGAATGCCAGGAATTTGCCGCAAGAGAAATTGACAAATGACAAAAAGGAACATGCCCTCGCCTTATGTTACTCTCTTTTGTTGTTTGTTTTTATCTTTTAAGTTGGTGGGAGGTCGGGGAAAAGGGGGGAATCATCAGCAAAGAATTACAGATCGGGATCTTTACTCTTTAGGTTGTTAACAATCTGCTATAATGGAGTAAAAAGAGAAACTTTTTTTTTGGTCTGGTTTTGTTTGTATTCCAGTTTTTGCACAGAACACCAAGATGCATTTCTTGTTACCATAACTCAATTGCAAGTAGCTAATAACAGCTTCTCCGGTTGTTTCAAACATTGAGGAGTATTTTTTGACTTACAGTACGTCCAATTTGTCTCTCAGTTTAGTTTGTGTTGTGGTCGGCGGGAGGTTTTTTTTCTACTCATCACAGGGCTGAACCAAAGAGGTGACCTGAAAGCACCTCCATTTTCGTATTGTTTTTCTTTTGTTTGTTAAAAAAGGAATTGGAGAGAAAATGGATAAGTCAGTGTCTTTCTTGAAACATTGGTGCAGTCATCTCTTTCCTATTTTCTCACTTTGAGATATAATAGTAGGCATAGCAGAGTCTTTCACATATCGTGTGATGTTTTGTTTTCCTCTCTGGAAGACTCTGACAGCAGATTGCTGAGTAGTAATATAACTAACTGCTTCATCCAGATGGGACAAGGAGTGTTTTCAGTGTTTGAATATCTCTACAGACGATCTCTCTCCAAACTCATTTCAGGAATGGGTGACATTTAAAGTGAAGATGCCAACATTTGTCATACTTTACATTTTTCTTTTTTTGTTTTTTTGTTTTTTTTTTTCCTCCTCCTCCTCTGGTATCAATATGAAATGTGGCACTCAAGAGTTCCAACATCCCGATGCCATTCTTTATGTGCTCAGAGTATTCAGATTCATAGTAACAAATAGTAACAACGAAGGCGACGATGACGATAATAAGAATACTAAACGGTAGTGTAAATATTTTGTATTGAAAGTGCCAGCTCCTATGAAGACACTGACTCAACACATGTGGAATTGTCAACTGTATGCATGGCTAGTAAACAAAAAAGGACTCTTATTGTTTGAGATTAATATAGGCTGTGGAAATGTGCAAATCAAACACATACACGTCTGGATCTGGACACTGTCTCAGCTGTACATCTATGTTGCCACGGGAACCAGACTTTCCCTGTGTAACCATTTTCATTGTTGATTTTCTATTTTTTTATGTGACCATTTACTCTTTATCCCTCTCTGAATGGTGACACTGTTACATTTGACACCTAAACAATAAAAGTGCGTTCAACACTCGACTGCGGCTGCCAAGCTTCGGTGAAATGAGGTGGATGGATAGACGCCCTCAAAGAAATGCTGTTTTTTTTAATGTTTCATAACCAAATTGCTTGTTTTATTCTGTTCCCTTTCTGCTTGACAAATCTACAGAGCAACTAGAGTAACACTGTTTTATAATTGACTGTAGTTTTATCCTCTGACAGGTCTTGACCACATCTTTTGCACCCACACAAGAAGCTTTTAAAGTCACAAAGCTGCCCCATTGTCAAGAAAATATTGAAAATATTGATGGTGCATGTCTGATACTGACTTGAGAAGTAATAATGCTGTGAGTTTGGAACTACAGTCCCCATACTTTGGAAGCTTTTTAGGATGTGAACAGTGAGCACAACGTTGCCATGGAGTCAATTGTCTGTGGGCTACAGATTAATTATGTTTTTTTAGCTCAAATTTATTTACACCATTAGAAATAAGCCAAATTAGCTATTAGCAGTACTTGTCCCTTTTCTTCAATCCCACTGGTGCACAGCCTAACAGTGGATTATTTTCTATCATTTTTTAAAATTTTATAGCACATATATATTTAAGTGTAATTATTCTCAGACAAATTCTGGATTTAGCATCTTCCTTTATTTCCATTCCTTTAATTCACATTGTGCACCCATAGTTACATGCGATGGACTTCATAGATAATGACATGTTTGGAAAGTTTCGTCCGACTGAATCTGACAATGTGTGTTGATAACTGCGCGATGACAGTCTGCCAACACACACCTTGATACCAGTTTGCCATCTTACTTCACAAGCTGAAGAGCAACACAACACTGAGAGAACCTCTGCAGCACATAACCTTGCATTTACCTCCTTCTGGTTGACGCTGTGCTGCTGCCCAGTCCCAAAGCCTGGAAGTGTTTCATCCTGTTTGGCGGGGCTTCCTTCTGAGCTGCAAGAAATTTGGAGTAATTTCAAATTTGCAGTAGGAATGACATGGTGCTGCAGTGGTGTGTCGCCTCACAGCAAGAAGGTCCTGGGTTCGATTCCCAGCCTGGGGTCTTTCTGTGTGGAGTTTGCATGTTCTCACCTGGTTCTCCGGCTTCCTCCCACAGGCCTAAGACATGCTGAGGTTAATTGGTGATTCTCAACTGTCCATAGGTGTGAATGTGCTTGGTTGTCTGTCTCTCCTGCCTTCACTCTAAGTCAGCTGGGATAGACTCCAGCCCTCCTGCAACCCCACAGAGGATTAAGCGGTATATAGAAAATGGACGGATGGATGGATTTGCAGTTATACCCCTTTACTGTCTTTGTCTCAGACTTCTAAATAAATGGCTGTCCACACATCTGATAGGTTCAACTGCTCAAAAGCGTGTGGTGTTGTGCCTGCTGGCGGCTGATTCCCCTTGTGATTTAACGCATCAAACATTTGCAGGTTGGGGGGATGTGTGGGTCAAGGATGGAGATGACAGCTGTGTCTGAAATCAGTCTTCACTACTTTTTACTGCTACTTACTTTAGTAGTAAGTGAGCAGAAAATGCTGATCATCATCTCATACTGACAAAATCATAATAGTAGGTGAAGGTGCTCCTGTATCCAACCACAAAACCGCCTCAACTACAAAGACGAGCAAATACACCACAAAAAGGATGCCAAGTGTCCACAAAGAGACATAAAACAACCGAAACAGACATAAAAGAATCACAAAAACAAGTTGAATGACCACAAAGAGTCGGTGTCCAGGGCTCTCTTCTCTGTATCACTCTCTCCCAGTGTTGAATTGGGGAGAGTAAGAGGAAACCATTCAGCCACCACAAAGAGTTGCAGGACTGTCATGCTGCTTGATGAGGTTTCCGTATTTGAAGATAACCCAGAAGGGCTTTCTCTTGAGCCAAGAAGCCCCAGCAGCACGTTCGTCTTCCCAGCAGGTTGTAAAACCAACACACAGTCTTTCTCTGGCCTTACGGGGATGCCAGACTAAAGCTCGATGCCCAAACATAGTCAATGCTGCTTGTGCGGTTTTTCCAGCATGGAAGGTATACCGCTTTCTGCATTCACTGGGTCAGCCAGCGTTTCTGAAGTGTCTGAATATGTCAGTGCCTTGGTTACTCTAGAAGGCTGTGTGTGGTGCCACTCGTGTTTCTGCCCTTTTTTGTTCTTCTCACACTTTGTGCGCTCTGCATCGACTACATGGAGCAAATCTGTGATTCACATTTGTTCACCTGTTTGTTTGGATCTGTTTTTTCTAGCAACTTAGTGCGTAATTGTCTTTGGGTAAAGCTTGATATATGACAAATCGGTAATTTTGTTGGAATTCAGCGACTTCAGCTCTATTTTGACACCTGAGAGACGTCATATATCAAATGGCAATCAGCATAAATGTGACTCCGTACAGCATTTATTTAGCAGAACACAGAAAAACCCAGGTTTGGTTCTTCAGTAAGGCAGCTTAAGACCTCTGAGAACATTTATTTTAGGTCAGAGGTTGGATGAGCAGCTTACTATTTTCTCTGAAAACTGTTTCATTCGTCCATTCAACTGCTTATATGTGCTCTAAGCTACATTATACTGTGTTGTAACCATGTATGTCATATTTCTATACATGTTTCTATACATTCTATAAAAGTGTTGCAGTTGTAGGTGTATCTGAATGTGTCCGAGATGCTGTGCCATACTTTTGGACTTAACATTGACATTCTTGTAGCTGAGAAGTGCACAGCTCTGTCCTAAAGCCTCAATATAGAACTGAATGGCAAAGAGGCAGGAAAAGGGGGGAAAATGCATATATGATCATGAAAGATTTCAGTTTAGGGTGATGGAATTACAGACATGATATTATTTGATGTGTGCAACTGCTTACTTTAATCTGGTGAATGTTTTTTTTGAGTTAGCGAATTTTTCAGTGATGGGAATTCTTTTAAAATCAGACATCCTCTGCACTGCATTGTAATTCACTCAGGTGCTGGTCATGTGCAAATGCAAAATTTAAAAGGGTCGCCGCACACAAAATCAGGTTAATCCCTTGTATCAGAGGGCAACAAACCCAAAAAATGAATTTAAAGATAAAATAGTTTTAGGAGATTATTTTTTTTTAAAAAGGACCTCTTTATTTCAGCTCCTTTTCTTCTTTGTCTGCCTTATAACCAGCTTTAGAGATACTTCTGATTCGCTGACGCAGAGTGAAAGTGGCAGAGGGGGGAAAATCTAGTTAATAGAGAGCAAGTGTGTGCCAGCGTTTGTCCTCTGAGACGCTTGTCAACATCCACCTTCAGCCCCCCTGATGTAAAGGGAGCCGGTAAAGAGCAAGTCTGTGTGGTCTGTTTGTGCTGTCTTGCTCGCCGAGGTGCTTTATCCGCCCTGATGAGACAGGGGCCGAGGGCTGAAGGACCTAATGGTGAGAGGTCTCAGCGGGGTTCATTAGGAACCAGAATCCCTCTGGCATCACTCACTCTTCAGCAGTATCATTTGTGTTTGTGCTAACGTGCAGTCGCAATATCCCTGTTGTCCGGTGGAGGAGGTTTTAATGAGAATGTATTACAGGACTCGGCCCAGTAGTTGTTGTGCGGCTTCGTCTCTTAACCCTTCTCCTCCGGTCCTTGCGGAGTCAAAATGACTTTCCAGGAATGCAAGGAAACATCATGAGGTGCAGAATTCTCAACGGGGGGGTGGGGGACAGACTGGAAAATAAAAATAAAATCAGCTTGAAAACAACCCCCTGAGTTTCACAGTGTAGGTGTATGAATTAAATAGGCACTGACTCACTGTTACCTGTTCTCGGCTCTGTAAGCCAGCAGCTCAGAGGCACAGACATTGCAGCTGTGGCACAGCGCACCGTGTTTGTTCCAGCTGAGATCCTCTACATCAGTATGTCAAATGTCAAGAGGAAGGAGGGGAGGGGGGAGTTGCATGCGTCACGCCACCACCGACACCATCCACATCTCCCCTCTGCTGCAGCACAGTCCTGAGGATGTCTGTGTGGGATACAGTAGCAGTACATGATAAAAAATAAAGGCCATGTCTGCCCTCTCCTCTTTGACTCCAGGGCACACAAGTTCAAGAGGCTGTTATTGTGGAGTCGAGGAACACCCTGCCCGCTCAGCAGTTTGGAGGATGAAGGAGATTCCAATGCACAGACCAAACAAAGGAGGCTTTAAATTGCTTTAATCCTCTCATTGATCAGTGGAGCATTAAAGTCTCAATGTGGCCCAGACAGGAGCTGAAATGTGTGGAAATGAGGTTTTTGTGCCTTTGCAGCACAGAGGAATTGAAGGAATCAATAGAGTGTGATGCAAAAAGAAGTTATGTATTTAGAGGTAATGTTTTCCTTTCTGACTGAGTAATGATGCACCACTGCATACTCCGGGTCGTCATGTTGTCACGTTTAAAATACCCCCCCCCATGCGCCTGTCTGTTTTGCTTCACCAGGGTTCTAGATCTCTGGATGTGCTTGTGAGGGATCACATACTGTTTGTGCTGCACCTTAGCTGGAAGTCAACGCCGCTGAAAAGAGCAAAACCGTTACCAGCCCACGCTTTCAACCCCCCTCTGATGCTTCATGCCTTTTTATACTGGAAACAATGTTGATGTGCGGGAGGGGGAAGATGGAACAAACAAGCCGAGCCAGGACCGTCGGAAAGGCCTAATAACTAGGTGTCATGGCAACCAGATGGCAACACATGAGTTGTCAATTTCACAGTCTAATTTGCCGCTGTAACAGAGGAGTGTGTGTGTGTGTAGGGGGGGTGATGTGTGTGTGTGTGTGTGTGTGTGTAGGGGGGGTGATGTGTGCGAAGAATGAAAGATTTCTCCACTGAATACATGTGTTTATGTCGTAATCTTTGTTGCCGTTATCAGCAACAGACATTAAAGTGTGAATTGAACCACATCACAAACAAACACAGGTACGTATGTGTTTGCTCGTTTAAAAAACTGATTCTAAGAAGGCCTTGCAATCAATGTGTGACTTAACAAGTTAGAGAATGTGCTTCTTTTGTTTAAAAAATGTAGGTCTCTTTAGGAATTCTTATGT